AACGGCATGGTGGATAGGTAGTTCCCTCACAGCTTTGAGAAACTCGGCCATCCGGGGGACATAAGCCGTTTGGGGAGGGGAGGGGCGTTCTAAAGTCCTAACATTTCTCAAAGTCCCTCCCCCACTGCATCCGGGCAGCCTGGCCTTTCATCGGGACTGGCTTTGCTTCTGGCCTCAATGCATGGCGCCGCCGCTCTTCCGTTGCATTACGACCGCCACAAAACAGCGGGCAGCATGTGGCGCACGTGCAGGGATTGCCATTGAGGTCAGCTGGCGGCGATAGCAGTTGCACAGCAGCTGCGGCGAGACGAGCGTCCGTGCATTGCTGTGCAGGCGGGCTTAAGGGTCGCCCTACGGACAAGGGAAGGCGGGTGGGCAGTAGCATGGTGGGTGCCACGTCGAAGTCGTTTGTGTGGGGCTGAGTAAGCACATGGTCTGAATTTTCTACCACCCCTATCCCCCCGAAATTTAGTGGCGTGGAATGGGATTTCTTATCGCTGGGCGCTGACCATGTTTCGAAGGTGTTTGAATACCACTGAGCCTATCGTTGTGAGATAGAATAGTTCTTTTCCCATGTTCTTCATCGATAGGGAAGTTTTTGGTGGTCATGCAAATACACGAGGATAACACAAAAAGGTGCCCACGATTATTCGCATCCGTCAGCTGCATGGAAGACAGCCATTTCACCCCAAATTCAGGAATGTAACCGCTCGAATCAAAAACTTGTCCGGGAATCCACTCCGGCCCGGTCAGTTTTGTGCATGAACCACTGGCTTCAGTATTAGTATGCCAAGACCGCAGCAATAACTGGTTCAGGCGGGCGTCCAGTGCAGCTTAGGTGATCACAACGAACCATCGTCCGTGGGCGAGACATTTTCCTAATACTGCGCAAGACATCCTGAACTGCATTTCATTTACGTGCGGACCGATATGATCCTGTACTGCGGCTCACAAGGATGCTAATGGTAGTTTGAATGCTCGTCTATTGCGCATCCAACAGAACGTGGTGAAAGTGCTTCAGTTCAGTGGAAAACCATGGGTGCTCTCTACCAGCCGAGTAGCGGACGTTACCAACGGGATGACGTCAGAAGGAAGTGTCATTGGAGCTTTGCGACGGACTCAGCTGCTAAGGCTGTAGGCTGAGGCATCTCCCGCCTCTCACCCTGGCGGGAAGGGCGTGCACCGCCGGGATCGGCGGCCAGTAAAACAATGCATGATGCACGATAGCATGACTTGATGCAATATGAGACGAGTTGGCTTCTTCCGTCTTATTTTAGCCCGTCGCTGGGAATCTGGACGTTGTACAGTCGTCAGCGGTCAGTGGCGCAACCAAAGGCACGGGGCTTGTGAGGCTTAGCCCGCCTCCAGCCGTCAGGATCGGGCGCAGTATTTCACCGCAACGCTATGGAACATGATGACAATGTGGCGATCAGGAATCTGATGATGTCTTAAAATCTCATTTGTAACCATGGCCAATGGCATGTCGCACCCAGCAGCCGTAATTTAGTGACCAGGTCTGCGATGGGACGAATGGATATGCATGCGGCATGCATTGAGGCAATTCTTTTCGGCGCTAGGGCAAGCCAAAATTGATAGCATACTGACGCGTTAAGTACTGCTTCTGGCAGTGTCTGTGAGGGTGATGATAGTTTAAGAGCATCTTGGTCTACTCACAGTGCACGTGCATTGCAAAGAGGGCATAGACTGGCTCGCCAAAATTAGCCTCTCCCCCCCCCCTTCGCTGATCCTGTCAGTGATAACGTGACCTTGTGCTGAACAAGATGTGCCAATCTCGTATGCACGGCACTATATTTTGTAGGACGCGTGGCATAAAAAACCAGCATGGGCTGCATTCAAAACAAGTTCGTTGAGCACGTACTCGTTAAGCATACTAAATAATCTTCCCGAAGTGATAAATAAGCAGGCAGCCGTAAGAGCTCATGCCTGCCTGTTTCGAAGGATTGGACAGAGTTGCAGAGTCTGTTAGCTGTTCTGTCCGACCTGCTTTTTTCTTTCTGCTCTTATGCTCTTTACTTTCCTTCTTTCCTTTCTCTACTCTGCTCTCTCCTGTCCTGTCTTGTTGGCTGTCGCAATCATGCGAATTGATGCGACAGCCATCCCCCTATACGCGCGCATGAGCGGAGCAGACCTGGCTTCAGTCCGTATGCCCGTGCCGCGACTCCCTGTCCGATAACCGCAAGCTACAATGCCACAATCAATGGTCATAAGTCACAATTCCCTGAAGGGATTAAACAGGTGCTATCGAGAGACAAGGAAAGATCCTTATCTGCAAAAGCGGCACTGTCTTGACACGCGCGCTTCATTCGTGTTTGCACTTACTCGGCGGGGTCAGAGGTCGCGCGGCCACCTGCATCGGCCGGCGGTCGGCCCGCTTTGTCCTGGTTTGCTGCGCCGAGCCCCGCATGTGGCCTCCGCCCTGAGCGAGCGCTTCTGCTGACTCACGGCGGCGGGCGTTCCAGCTGCACGGGAGATCCCCTACCCCTCCCCCCTCCCCCGACCGCGCCGCGCCAGCTAACAAGCGTCGGCGCCGGGTCACGCGTCTGGACTAGAGGTGCGCATTTATATCGCCTTGCGGGCGCCCTGGCACCCTTCCAGTGGGCGAGGGTATTAGTTTTCCACACGAGAGGTGCACCAAGCCGGCCTGCCCTACCCATCACTATCTAGCACGAGGTCCGCGCAGAGATGAGAGAGACCTTGAGGAACGGACGGTTCACCGTACTAGAACGGACGATAGCGTTGGATCGGCCGCGTGAGCTTTCTCGTCACATCGGGCCGAAGGCAAGATTGGGGATTAGAAAACATGTGTGCATCTGGACAGCAGTCATTTGCACTAAGTCGCACATGTGATACGGGCGTCGCAGTGTTCGAACAAAAAGTCGAATGGGGAACTCGAGAGCGAAAAATGTCGGCAGGGAGAAATGCCGGCAGAGATGACAGCCGAATCGGTAAAAACTCGGAGGGCAAAAAACGACCGGGCCATACAAGTCCATGGAGACAAAAGTGGAGTTGAAAAGGCGCTGAAGGGTTAAAAGTCGACGGGGATAAAGCATCGAAAAACACATAACCATGAGAACCACAGCACCAGCGGTAACTATGAACCTTTTGCCCTGGTGTTTGTAAACCTAGTGGTTGTTTGGTGGTGTTACCTGGTGTTCATATAGAAACCAGACAGGTGAGGGAAATAAATATCGTGGTATGTGGGGGGAGAGATCAGGCCCCCCTTTCCCCGATACAGTTGAGAAAATTCAACACAGGAGATGGAAAGCTTGGCAAGACACTCTATGGGTACCTACTATGGGTATCTACTACTAGGTATGGGTACCTACTATGGGTACCTACTACTAGGTATGGGTACCTACTATGGGTACCTACTACTAGGTATGGGTACCTACTATGGGTACCCTCCTTGTAGGGTACCCATAGCAGATCGGCCACCTGGTGGTCACCTTAGCAGGGTACCCATAGCAGATCGACCACCTGACAGCTTTGGGGCGTGTTGTGGCTTCCTGCCAGGGGCGTTTACCGGGTGAGTGCAGGCGGGCCCACACTGGAGGACCCAGGGATGCGAGGTAGCGGAATCACCGAGTCCGCGGGCGGACTCGAGTGCAGTCGGTAACATCCTCATTCACGCCCAGGGCGGATCTGAGTGCAGTCGGTAACATCCTCCTTCACGCCCGGGGCGGATCTGAGTGCAGTCGGTAACATCCTCCTTTACGCCCGGGGCGGATCTGAGTGCAGTCGGTAACATCCTCATTCACGCCCGGGGCGGATCTGAGTGCAGTCGGTAACATCCTCCTTTACGCCCGGGGCGGATCTGAGTGCAGTCGGCAACATCCTCATTCATGCTCGGGGCGGATCTGAGTGCAGTCGGTAACATCCTCCTTCACGCCCGGGGCGGATCTGAGTGCAGTCGGTAACACCCTCCTTCACGCCCGGGGCGGATCTGAGTGCAGTCGGTAACATCCTCGTTCATGCCTGGCGTCAAATTATTTAGGCTCTCTTGCCTCAAATTCTCTTCCCTTAGTTAAATTCTCCTGTCTGTTTGTTTTTATCCCAACCGACGTTTTTCGGCTGCATTTTTTCAATATTTCTCCCAACTCGTATTCTGTCGACTTCTATCCTTTACGACTTTCTGATTCGACTTTTACCCCTGCCGGATGTTTGCTTTATAAGGAAGGTTTTTACTTCTCCCACTGTTAACTTTTATCCCTTTCGACTTCTTCCGATTCGACTTCTATCCCTGCCGACTTTGTTTCAGTCAATTTTTGGTCGATGGACTTCTTCAGATTCGACTTTTATCTCTGTCGACCTAAATCCCAGTAGTAGATAAGACAGTAATAATAGCCTTATTCCTCGTAGAAAGCCAGCAGAATGGAAAACATAGATGTTTTGATATTTTGGCAAAATGGTTTAATCGAAATAAATGTCAGCAGCATATTTGGAATTACCTGCCGATCAAACTTGATTTTTGAATTTTTTAACAGCGAGCCACAGTCTTTACATGCCACCAACATACAGGGCATTAAAGAAGGAGCAATGCTAACCATAATATATGCACTGTATTACTACGATACAGTACATATATAACTTGATATTGGAATGCAAGAAAAATACGTGAACGTGCAAACGAATTCAATCAAACAGGCGTCACACAGCACCCTTTTTCAAACATGCAAGTGATTTCGTCAATAGGCATCACGCATCACACATCGATTATGCATGCAAACGACATAAATTAGACGGGCATCGCGCATCACATGTGCATGCATACATGTTTGAAGGAAGCGTGATGCGTGGTGCCCGTTTACTTTAATTCGTTGCATGTTCACGTATTTTTCGCGCATTGTTATTATTAGGTGTGCACTGTATCGTAGAAACAGCTAACAATTGCTCCTTGTTTAATCTCCTGAATGTTGGTCACTTGTAAAGACTGTGCTTGCCGTTTTAAAAACAAAACTGACAAATCGAGCAGGATCAGCAGGCAATTTTGAATCTTCTACTGGTCTTCGTTTCGATAAAGGTATGCTGCCGAAATATCAACGCATTTATCTCGCTATTCTCTTGGGTTTTCTACGAGGATTAAGGTTGTTACTACTGTCATATCTACATGCATAATGTTCCTCGCAAAAGCACTTAGTAAGACTGTTCGCTTTCCTTGTTCGGCTTCTTCCATTTTCTCCTCCACATTTTGTACGGAAACCTGGTTCTTCTTCGTCTGCTGGTCACAGCAGACATGTGAGCAAAAGAAAAACTGTCTCGGACCAGACCGGCGGGGCGCAGCGGCCGGCGCCCACCTACCGCGCCGACTTCAAACACCGCCGGCGGAAACGGCGCCGGTAAACTCGCCGGCGCCTGCGGGCTCGGTCGCCGCCGACGAAGGTCAACAGCGCACGTGACGTCACTCATGGCGAGACGCAGATTCGCCGCGTGCGGCACGTGACGCGTCCGCGGGGACTTTTCGAACTGCAGGAAAGCTGATGCAACCCTGAGCGGTCGGCGCCGGCGTATGAGGCAGCGGCTGCGTCAGCGCCGCGGGCGTACCCCGGGTCTCGCCGCTGCCGGAGCTCGGCCTCAGAGCTGCACGAGCCTCCACCGCTGCTGACGGCACCCTCACCCGGACAGGCGCACTTCGCAACAGGAGCTGAACGTCTCGAACCGCAACAGGTGGGTAGATGTCTTCTTCGGTTGAAGACGAAATGTGAGGAATTTTATCGCGGCCAGTGAGCAGAAAGGCGCGATTGGAAATGAACAGTGGTTCGGTGTTTGAGGAGACATCAGGCATTGGTTGATGACACCTAGGTCCGGTATTTAGCGTTTCGTCTAAAACAAACACTGAATGGATACGTCATCTGATGAAAATGCAGTACAATGTCGTTGATACGAAGGTGCTTGCGACTCTGAAGCAGCGTCCCGGTTGCCTGCACTGATTTGTGGGAGCGCGTCGTTCAAGCAGAGATAATTCAACTTTAACTATTCAGCTTTTACATAACTAGAAATAGCGTGAGTTGTGTCCACCAAATGTTCTGTGGGTCCAAGTTTGTGCCTCTAACATATGTGGCCTTGCTGCTGGTCTTTGTCGATGAGCGACGTACTGGTTCCCAACTGGAAGGTTACGCGAATATGCATTGTAAGCACGGGGAAATTAGCACGGCGACAGGGCATAAACAACTGCCCAAGCCGGGACAGCTTTTCAAACCACAACATACGCAAGGCTCTGGTCCCCATGCCGTCCCGCCCATGCCGCCCACCAACAGACGAAGCAGCGCAGTTCATCGATCCACCGCCCTCATATCAGGCCAACCCAGGGAATCGATTCGGTCTGGACACGCTGAACCTCTGGAGGTGATTATGACGAGTGGCTGCTGCTACCTGCGACGTGCTGAACTCCGCAGGGAGCGTCTGCAGACGAGCATGCAGATGCTGGATCGGTCATGGAAATTGCACACTGATTTAGGTGCTCTGCACGTTGTATTGTAATGTATGCGCATTTTCGTCTTCTCTGATTGCCACTTGGTCATATCGCCGATCGTTGTATCAGGTTAGATAGAGCATTAGGCACCTCCGCGCGACCCTGCTCATTGCGTGCCCATGTTCTTCAACGGCCACATCATGCCGTCGGTGATGCAATACCGGACACCCAGCCTGATTAGCTAACTGGGCTGGGACGGCGAACGCAGCCACATCCCGGCGGTGCAGGCCGATGGCCGCGCCCCTGTCGAGCGTCCGCGGTTCAAGCACCGGTCAAACACGCGCGCTGTTCAGGCGCGCACTGAAGACGGACGGGAACGGACGTGACGGCGGGACTCTCCCGTTCCGTCGCCGTCGAATCTGTGAAAGACTGCGGACTGTCAACAGGCAGGGCTACGGGCGATGAGACATGCGGTGTTCTGGCATATCCAATAGCGGCGGTTGGTGGGTAAGGGTGGGCAGCGTTCGGGCGGTGAAATAGGCGCTGCTTTGGAGTGTAAAGTTGACAGTGCTTGGGTATGTACAAATTGGCAGCGTTCAGGTTGCCCAAAGCATGCAACGTTCTCAAAAGAGGCTCAGGGATTCACTTTCACGATGACCTGCCTTATCACTCGATCTGTTGATTTCAGCCCGCCGTTGACCATGACGAAGTCTCCCCGCTCGCCCCTGTTCAGCATGGCGACGATGAAGAAGAACCCGGCGCTGATCCCGTTGGCCACACTCGTGGGCCTGGCCGTGCTGGGTGACTCGCTGTTCGCTCTGCGCACGCTCATCAAAGTGCCCGAGGTGCAGTACAGGAAGCGCGACACTGAGCCCTGGGAGGACTACCGCAACAAGGAGTACAGCCTCTACAACCCGCGCGGACTGGAGCGCGACAAGTGCCCGGCGCCCGACTTCTAGACGGGCGGGCGGGACGGCGGCGTCGAGTGTCAATGTAGTCCGTTCGCCTTGTTGTTTTGGTGGGAAGGCTCGACCAAGTTAGATGGATTTCGTCGAGCTTTGACTCGCCCACTGTGGCACAGTGAGGTGAAGGGTGACGTGTACAAAGAGCGAATGCTTGCGGGTTATGCCGGTGATGTGTTTCGGCTGTGCTTTCAGACTGTTTTAATCGCACCCTACATTGTTTGTGTTTCGCAAGTATTTCGTATGGACTTCTTCGCGTGAATGCGATAAATTGAATTGCTGAGCTGCTATATCTTAATGCTGAAGTGCTCTTTTCTTTGCTGAACGCAGGAAACGTGCTTACGTGTGGTTTTTGCTGCACCTTAAGCCACCTTTATTCTGTGATTACGTGGAAACGGCTCGCATTTTGTGTAACAAGAAACGAAAAAAGGCTAAGCATGATATAGCCGCTGGGGAAGCAGCGTTGAGTGTCCGTTGGCAGTTAGCACAAGAAACATAACATTGTGCGTTGGTAGTCCTGTTGGGCGTTACGGCGTGCGCTGTACTGTGTGTCGTGTTGTAGCACTACGGCATGGCACACGATGGTTATTAGCGTAAAATAACTTCCTCAAAGCCACAAAACAAGGCAAGCCAGGGTGCGCACAACCAGTCGAAACATGTGAACGAACGGTGCGCCTCGAAGCCAAAACTATTTTCAGCACTTCACGCCCGCGCGGCGCCTCGCTTGGTAAGGGACGAAGCACGTGACGACATAGGCAATGCTATTACCATGCAGATGATAGCATGCAGCCCAGATTGGATCACACCTGTCTGGGAGCTTTACAAATGTATCCTGAAATTAGCCACATGGTCTGCTAATCTATTGGCCTACTGGGGAGCTCATCAGAAAAAGACGGTCATTTATTTGTATTTCTATTACACCACTTAACACATAGCATGGTCCCAGACTTGTTCGACGATGACACAGACTATTTCGATTAAAGAAATGGATAAAGTTGCGTTGTTTGTATTAGTTGGTTATTACAAACGTATTCATGAAAGCCCAGCATGTTTAGTGGATATTGGCCACAACTGATTGTGTCATACGTTCGTACGCTTTACATGGCCTATCGCTCTCGGTTTATACCACGTAGCAGCTTGCATCGAGACCGTTTTACTAAAAAAGAACAGGAGTGGCTTCTCGGGAGATTCGCTTCTCGGGAGATTGGTTTTCTGTTAGCTTCTGGTTCACCTCCGGTCGAATAATGTGGAACTGACTAAATCGCGACCGATAGATGTGTTGTCAACGCATCGCTTGGATCCCAGTCTGCGGCCCTGTAGCAATGTGAAATGGCTGCAATGGCATTGTTTTATGTTCTAGCGTTCATTCTGATGCTTGAAATCGTTCACCCATTCTATATGCTAACCATCACGAAAAATTCCGTCTGGCGCTAAGGATGCCCCGGAGTACTGGGCACGAGTCTTAGGCGGGGGGGGGGGGGCTGTCCCATCGCGGGGGCTGTCCCATCGCGGGGCTACCCCACCGACCGTCATCGAGAGGTCAGCTGGTAGCTTCGTAGCTATGTTCACGGTCATGGGCGAGCAAGGTAAGCACAACAATATGACTGAGTACTAAGGCACGTGAAATGTAGAAAATTTTCGAATCTGTAGCTAGTCAGCAGCAAAATACCCAACTAATGAAGCAGTTGAGCTCCAATATCCTAATAGGAGTTGATCCAGATAGGTGATAATCCAGATGTGAGGGCTCAACCAAGGCTTAACTTGAGTCCTCACATCTGGGCATAATGTCCAAACGTGAGAGCTCAAATTACTTATTATTATCATATATTTCTACAGGAAATACCGGCACAAGATACATCATTGCCTCTCACATGACCTGGTTTTCTGAACCTTACTTTTCGCGAAGCCTTGTTCATCTGAGATCGTGGATACATACAGCATTACGTCACATTTTCTCAGCATAACCAACGCTTGTTTGACAACGCTATTGAACCCGTAGCTCCCGGTATATTGAAGGCTGGCTGTTTTCAGTACACAGGCTGCCATTCCATCGCCTCAAGGTAATTCAAGCCTGGTAATGCATGATTTCTATTCGTTGGCAGGTGACCTGCTGACCAGACCCACACTGACGTGACCCACACTAAAGTCATCACGATCGTCCTCTCTTTCTCCGGTTCAATCGTGTTGATTCTGCGTTGTTAGGAGCGCGGGGTGCAAACATAAGTGCCCAGTTACAGTTTGTGCTGTATAGTTTTTCAAATAACCAAATTTTATGTTGCCATTGCTGATCGAATGGAAGTTTCGTTTGTGGTCACATTGGAGCACTTCAGAAAATCACGCCAGACAAAATAATTTGTAACTAGTTGTCTTGACAATATTGGACCAAAACTTGCAAAAAATCGATCTGTTCCCCGCTCAAAATTGTTAGACACGATAAACAGTATGTGGAAAGGCATTCAACTGTTAGAAAGATGGTCAGGTTCTAGTCGGGCTGCACCGCCGAAACGGCACGATTTGCCGTTTGTGAATTGGTGTTTAGATAAACTCCGCGCTCATAACTACACATGCAATCTACCAGCATTCTTGCTTATCATCGTCAAGGCCAACCAGTGGCTTCGCGGCAGCATTCCAGATTGCCCGTAGTTTCATGCATACCCCTGTGCGTCACGTTCTCGGACGGACTGTTCCGTCTTCCAACCGGATCGATTAGTCACTTTATTATGGTACTGTGCGCTAGGTGGTACTGTGCGCTAGGTGGTACTGTGCGCTAGGTGGTACTGTGCGCTAGGCGCTGGCGTCGCGTGGTATCTGGACCCGAAAAGTATGCAGACATGAAGGTATCGGAAGAAAAGGGCGTTGCATTTTTGTTTTTGTGTGTACGACCATAGCATTTTTGCCCTTGCTCTCGCAGTGAGCAAAATTATACATCGCCCTGGCAGGCGCCGCATTCGGTGCATCGAAAGCTCCAATGCTGATGTTGACGCACAGACGGTCATACCAGGTCAGACTTGGTACAGCTTCTTGGTGTTACGGCCGGGCGAACGGGGTGATTTAGGTGCGCTTTGGTGAGCGGCGTATATGTTGTTCCAGCTGATTGCTGCCATCGTGGCAACTGGGTGCGGCCAGACTGGCTGCGATTGGCTAGCCTGTCAGCGACCAGGTCACCCTATCACGTGACGAGCCGAGTGGTGCTAGCTCGCGGATGGGAGCGTACATCATGAACCCACCCCAGTCAATGGACCCTATGAACTGGAATGGTCCCAATGGAGCTTCAGTCCATGTCGATGCTATCTGATGCAGCAGGTGAATAATGGGCGTATTCCAACATCAGCTATCTGTCCTTCACTGGCACCGGTCCAAATCGTCCGCATGGAAATGTGATGGGCAACGGCTCGATTACTTCCGCAGACTTTTGGGTCACCACCTCACGGCTTCAGTCACTCACGTGAGCCTGATCAATCGCTCATCGCCGGTCAGGTGATGTTGAAGCGGCGTAGCGTTGGTCACACCCCAGGAACCCACCGTTGTGCAGAAGCCAAGCTCGTGTGCAAACATGCACATTCCGCTGAGCTGTTGGGCGTGCTGCCCTCGCTAAGCCGACCAGAGCCGTCTGGTCTCGTCTGCAGTTTGGACGGGATGTGACGTCACAGCCGGTCGATGATACTACGCCATGCAGGTGATTAGTGCGTTCAGTGCGGCGCATGGGGTTACATCAGGCGTGTTGCGTCATCTTGTGCTGCGTGCTTGTTGATATCGCGCTGAGCTTCCTGTTACTCCACAAAAGTCTCGGAAAATGCTATCTTACACGATGATCTGCCATGTCAAACCACAGTTGCGCAAGGCCACATTCCCCGCTGCTGGAGCCGGGTCTGGTCAAAAGGAGCATCTGCAAACACGTGCGCTGTATCGAGCATCCGCACCTACTAGATGCCGCGCCATGCCAGAATGCCAAATTCCGTCAGACACTTGCACTTTCAATGAGCCAGATTTCAGAGACACGTGAAACAGATGTTGTGACTCCGAAATCACATTCTATCCCGGGCACCGCAAAACAATTACGTGCTTATTTCATGTTACTGTCATTCCTTTTTGTCAACAGGAACAATAGATAACAGAGACCACCTTTGGGCATGTTCAGACTCCGGTGTCCGAGGTGGAAATCCCGTGCAATGTGAACCCATGAACCATTTCTGTATTCAACCGCCAAGGGCTCATCCCTCCGCATGATGATAGTGATAAATGAATCACTATCATCCTCCGCATACCTTATGTTTGAGCAAGTCACCGGCGCCCTCCGTCTCCACCGACCCATTGCGTATCCCCCAGCCCGCAGACGCACCTCCACGGCGTGGCATCTCTGTCACCGATCCATCATCGACAGGCGCGCAACCGACAGACTGATCGCACCGCCCCTCTGCGGCTCTAGCCCGGCGCGCTCTCACTCGAACCTCGCGACCGAGGCTTCCCGCCGGCGCGAGAAAGGCTGGTGGTCGTCAGCGGTCAGACCGGCGGCGTCGCGCACCAGCGGGCAGCTGATGCGTGTCACGTGACTAACCAGCTGAAGGACTATTGGTGGATCAAAGTGACGGGCGGTGTTGGTTGAGGGGTTCTCACGCGCGTTAGAGAAGTCGGCAGCTTGCGGGTTATGGGTGGTGGAGAAGCTGGCGCGAGACTGCTGGGAATGTTTCAAAGTGAGCGAAGCATTTGAAAACCTTGAAATCTGGCTTGTCTTGCGCGTTTCCAGCGCTATTTTATGACGACCAACACCTAGACATTAGGCAGTTATGTGAGTAAATAAGAATATAATGCTTCACAGAAGACGACATTCGGCAAAGCTTTTGACTTGTCTGCTTCAATGTGTCACTGAAGGCTTAACAAACCAATAGAAAGTTTTTAACATCGCACATTAGCACATCGGGAGGTGTATATCCAGCGCTTCCCAGTCGGCCGTAAGTAATGTGACGTTCGCACAACTTCCATTGAAGGTACCTTACGAAGGTACCCTTACGACTGAGCCGGGGCAGGATGCAGCAAACATCTTATAAAAAACATGTATTCGTGACAAATGCGTACTCGTACATAACGCACGCACCATCATGCCTCGTTAACCATGTTCCCTGGCGAATCCTAAAATTCCCAGGATCTCGAAGGAATATCGGCCGTTGAGCTTTTACGTTGAGCACCTCACCGATCAAATAAATGCAGTGGGTATCAGGGCGTAACTCTCTCAGGATCAGCAGAGCACAGCGCCCCATGAGTAAGCCATCGGCGAAAATAACAACGACAAAAGGTCATCTAGGTACAGTACCGCCACAAGACACCAGGGACTAGACACCCTCCGGAAGCCGGAGGCGCCCGTCCGGCCTGGCTTAAGGCAAACACGGTGACTTAGAATACACTGAAACAACGGAGGCAGCACAGCGACAGGCACATAGCACTCACACAGCGCCGCGACTCCTTCCTCAACCACTAGACGAACATAACACTGCTCGTGTGTATGGCATCACAACCGCACTCGCCAAGCTGTCGCTGCCTCTCCGCCTGCTCACAACAGTGACGACGGCTTCGGGGCCGCGTAACCGCTGTTGTCCTCGATTGGCTGGAAGCCTCTCTCGGCCTCCGGAAAGCTGTACCTTTGTCCAGACGGAGGCTGGGCAGAGGGTGGCGGACCAGACTGGTAGCCCTGCTGCTGCTGCTGTTGAGGAGCAGGCTGGTAGCCCTGTTGCTGCGGCTGCTGCTGTTGCTGCTGCTGGGGAGCAGGCTCATAACCCTGCTGCTGCTGCTGCTGCTGCTGTGAAGCAGGCTGATAGTCTTGCTGCTGCTGTTGCGGCTCGGGAGCAGGTTCATAACTCTGTTGCTGGGGCTGAGGAGCAGGCTCATAGCTCTGCTGTGGGGGCTGAGGAGCAGGCTCATAGCTCTGCTGTGGGGGCTGGGGAGCAGACCCATAGCTCTGCTGCTGTTGTTGCTGTTGTTGCTGCTGCTGCTGCTGCTGAGGTGCAGGTTGATAGTTTTGCTGCTGTGGCTGGGGAGCAGCTTCATAGCTCTGCTGCTGCGGCTGGGGTGCAGGTTCAAAGCTTTGCTGCTGAGGCTGGGGACCAGGCCTATACCCCTGCTGCTGCTGCTCTTGCTGTGGATCAGGCCCATAGCCCTGCTGCTGCTGCTGTTGCTGGGGAGCCGGCTGATAGTTTTGCTGCTGCGGCTGGGAAGGAGCTTCGTAGCTCTGCTGCTGCGGCTGAGAAGGAGCCTCATAGCCCTGCTGTTGCGGCTGGGGAGCAGGCTCATAGCCCTGCTGTTGCGGCTGGGGAGCAGGCTCATAACCCTGCTGCTGCTGCTGCTGTTCGAAAGCAGGCTGGAAGTTCTGCGGCTGAGGTCGGGGACCAGGTTGGTAGTTCTGTTCCTGAGGCTGAGGACCAGACTCATAACTCTGCTGCTGAGCTTGAGGGGGAGATTCGTAGCCCTGCTGCTGCGGCTCGGGAGCAGGCTCATAGCCTTGCTGCTGCTGCTGAGGCTGGGGAGGAGGCTCATAGCCTTGCTGCTGCTGCTGCTGCTGCTGCTGCGGTCGTGGCTGAGGCTGGGGACCAGGCTGGTAATTCTGCTCCTGGGGCTGAGGAGCAGGCTCATAGCTCTGCTGCTGAGGCTGAGGTGCAGATTCGTAGCTCTGCTGCTGCGGCTGAGGTGCGGGTTCATAGCGCTGCTGCTGCTGCTGGAGCTGAGGAGCCGGCTGGTAGTTCTGCTGCTGCTGCTGCTGCTGCTGCTGCGGAGCCGGTTCATAGTTCTGCTGCTGTTGCTGCTGCTGCGGAGCCGGTCCATAGTTTTCCTGCTGCTGCTGCTGCTGCTGCGGAGCCGGCCCGTAGTTCTGCTGCTGCTGCTGCTGCTGCTGCGGAGCCGGTTCGTAGTTCTGCTGCTGCTGCTGCTGCTGGGAAGCCGGCTGGTAGCTCTGCTGCTGCTGCGGAACCGATTCATAGCTCTGCTGCTGCTGCTGCTGCGGAGCCGGTCCATAGCTCTGCTGCTGCTGCTGCTGCGGAGCCGGTCCATAGCTCTGCTGCTGCTGCTGCTGCTGCTGCTGCGGAGCCGGTTCATATCTCTGCTGCTGAGGAGCCGGCTGGTAGCGCGCCTGGTCATTGGACGCCGTTCCAGCGGCCGGCCCGGCCTGGTAGCCCTTTCCTCCGCTCGCTTGCGGGTACTGCGCCTCACCTTCGTACTGCACATCCGCGATGAAGCCGCTCTGACCGTCCACGTGGTAGTTGACGGTCTGCTTCCTGGTGTCGGGCAGCTGGACGTAGTAGGTGCCCTGCACCTTGTTTCCATCCCTGGACTCCTTGTGGCCGTAGTCGTTACCGTAGTCGTCCTTCACTCCCCATTGGAAGTCGTATTTGGCTGGCTCCTTGGAACGACCCAGGCAAACAAATTAGACCAACACAGGTATCTGGACTTAATTCTCAACTCGAAATTCGTGCAATTATGTTAAAACTGAATGATGAACCACAATAAAGCGCAGGGTGCTTACACAATGGAAAAATCGTACAAAATTACACTTTCAAATGCAACATTTTAAGCTTCTGCGATGCAATTTATTAGGTCAGCATATTATCGACTTTCTAAGTCCTGTACAAGCCTGTCTGATCTTTGTGCGCACTCATCATTCCTACCACCATAGTTGTCCAACCGATGCTTGTCGAGCTGGCATGCGTCAAGTCACTTACATCACTGTATGCCGCGGCGTTGTATTCCACAGGCTCATCGTAGTCTACCTCAGCCGCTGGAGCGTAGCTCGGCTCAGGAGCGGGGGCTGGGGAAAAACGCGGCTGAGTAGCAGGAGCTGGGGCGTAGCTTGGCTGGGGAGCAGGAGCTGGGGCGTAGCTCGGCGGAGGGGACGAGGATGGTGCGTAGCTCGGTTGGGGAGCAGGAGCTGGCGAGTAGCTCGGCTGCGGAGCAGGATCTGGGGCGTAGCTCGGCTGAGGAGAGGGGGGTGGGGCGTAGCTCGGTTGAGGAGCTGGAGATGGGGCGTAGCTCGGCTGAGGGGAGGGGGCTGGGGCGTAGCTTGGCTGGGTAGCAGGAGCTGGGGCATAGCTCGGTTGAGGGGCAGGAGCTGGGGCGGAGTACTGTTGCCGCCTCCGCCGAAGCAATTGCAGGTGTGTGCCGTTTGTCCGCGACTGGGCCATCGCCCCCGCGGCCAGGTAGACTATAAGCAGCTGAAACGATCACAAAATAGTCTATGAATTACAGCCACCCGTTAGGTTAAATGAAAAACATGGGCTGCTAGAAAAAGAGCAAACATATACTAACATGTCAACCATGCTACGATGTCAACACAATGCTATGCAAAGTTCCATGCAGTTTTAAGGGGTAGAATTGAGCATCGTTTGCCTGTTGCGTGTTTAAGATACCCATTGGCACGCATGACCGGTTGTGTGCATGTTGCGACGATACTCGTGGAAGTCTCTCGAACCGAGAATATCAAGAAAAGCTCAGCATCCTCCGGGCGGGTTTGTCTGGCTGGCTGCTTACATTGATGCATCTTAAAGTAATGCTAAAACAAAGACTTTACTTCACTCACTTTACTAGTACTTTACCCACAAACCGCCGCGCAGCAACCGCGAGTATCAGCAAGACGAAGATAGTATAGTCGTTGCCAACACAAAATGCTTCGACAGCATGCGTGGGGAGCATGGAAGGGGGCGACACTCGTAGTAAGTGTCCATACACACCTAAATCAGGCCCGAGATGTTGCTTGGGAACAGACCAAGCGGTTCAGTCCCCTCCCCTCATCGCCTCCCCTCGTCATCGCGAGGCACTTCCATGGTACTTGATCCCTGATTCACGAAGCAGTGAAAGTGAGCGCAACGCAACGCTTGGCGAGCCAAGATAGATACATCCTGGATATCGTCACGACTTCCGCGCTGGCTGGCAGACCGTGCCTCCGCCCAGCCGTGCCCGAAGCCAGAGCCGGAGTCGGAGCCGAGTGGCGCGTCATGCCCGCGGGGGGCAGCTGCCGTCATAGGCTCAACAGGCTCCAGCGGCGCCGTGGGAAACAGACACCATCGATTGGAAGTGTCCAAGAAATAGTCCACCGGCAAGTACTGAAACTTAACAGTTCGATCGCTTAACGACTGATGGCTTCACGAATGTTGCCGCGGCCTCGTCTGCTTGCTTTCTGCCATCTCCCCATCCACCTCGCTTTCTCACCGGGTCGAGCCGCGGACCGCTGGGTAACAAGCCCGGCGCGCCACCAACTGCGCCAATTTCGTCGTCTCAAATGAGAAAAGCGTGTGTCACACCCTGGTCAAATCGTGCACGCGATGTCTTCAGTTAGAATAGTGGGGAGTTACACGACACCTAAAGAGAAATAATTTGAAGAGAGCTTGTCGAAGCGCATTACCTCTGTCGCCTAAACGGAGAGAAGGTTGAGAGCAAACTTCACACCTGCTTGAGCCATAGCAACTTTCGTTCGGAGACAGATCTTACAGATATCACGTAAGGTTTCTTGAGTGGGTAGGTGACTTACACGCTTTCCCCCTTTTGGAACAAATCTGCCAATTTTCTAGCATCCAGAGTCGTTACATTGTTGTAATTTGGCCGATATCGTCATAAACATGCCCCCGTAGTTTTTTGCCCTGCTGAACTGGAACCTTATAATACTATTTCATGTTTAGAGAGGCACATCGCCAATGGATCGTATATAGCTAAGAGATAGGGACATACACGAAAAACTGTTTGACAGAGGTGCTGTCACAGCTCATTACAACTTCGTGAATTAAGAGAGTCGACGCATTATGACACTAACTCGCTGTGCAGTCAAAGGCAATGGCACCGCTCCTCGAAAACTCCGCTACCTCCACGCAGCATTATGCTCAGCAAAGTAGCTTTCCCCAACGGTAGTTCGCGGCCAAACACATCCAACCAAACCTGGCTCCTAGCAGGTGGCTCGCAGCAGACGCCACGCTACGCTCCGCCGACCCCAGCAGCACCAGCACCAGCACCACCGCACCAGCACCAGCACCGCCGGCACCACCGCGCTCGGCGACGGCGACCTGCTGTACCTTCCACATGTTCTCGCCGCTGTAGTCGCTGGGTGACACGGTGCCATGCTGCCAGCGCCCCGGCGTTTTATACTTTTACTCTTACTCGTGCACTTTCGGCACGGGCGGCGGCGCGAGGAGGGACGTCTGACCTACCCCCGGGCGGTTTTGACCGGCACAACGCGGTCACCGGCGTAAACGAGCGGTTAGGCCGACGAACTGTGCCGCGTTGCAAGACACACCACTAATTGATGCGTTCATCGCAAACGTGATCTGAATTGATTCGCGGAAGGCCGTCGCTAGGATGCTGGGCGAGTTGCTCAATTTGGCAGCGAACTGGTGCAAGCGATGTGTTGATGTGCTTTGTGATCCATTCGCCGGGTATCAAGACGTGTTGCACATTACGGGGTGGCTATTGTTTTCCTACTTCGAAGCGTGCAGGTGAAGGTGCTTGCATGTCCATCTCCCATGGCGTCAAAGCATGTTGTCACTGGTCTCTTACCTCACTAGACGAATTGGGGGAGTAAGGCACGTTTGACAAATTGAATTCTGCGATTCGACGGTCACCACGGTCGGAGGGGCTGCAGGAACAATTGCGCTTCAACCTGGGTATAGACGAATTGCCTCCAGAGTCAACGAAATGTCTGATGCGTGTTGGTATGTTTCCCTCGGATTTATTTATTGTGAGCAGGAGTTGGCGTTCAGTTGTCGGTGGGTCCGAGCAAACAGAAATATATACGCCACATATAGTATGGTATGATAGCTTGGTGGGGACCAACTGAGCACATCATGATATAGCTGCAACACTATCAAAGCAATTATCCTGTATGGATCTTCTGAGTGCGTTTTGAGTCTGAGTCGGGACAGATTCATCAGGCGAAGAATGAAGCATATATAAAGCAGGAGGATGATATATTACAAATTATCTCGAAAGTAGTGTGTGTGACGTTTCGAACTCCTGGTGGTGTGGCTCATCTCTTTAACGAAATCAGGCGTAAGTATCGAGGAACCTCCAGGTGTTTCAGGTAACATCAATAAATAGCGGACGTTTGGCAAGATCCCTACAGTTACATCAGCTGACTGGAAATTCCAGGTAATTCACGAAACAGTCAGTCAGGCAGCGTAGGATTAACAAAGTTTTCGCAATGGTCGCATGTTTAGCCACGCCATAAGTCGTCCAATGGATGCTAGGTTTACGGTGGAACTTGGTCGTGGTTTAAAAAAAGAACTTGGTGCGCGTCGAAGAGCTTTAAGAGGCGGCCGAATTAGAACAGAACGCAAGAGAGAGAGAGAGAGAGAGAGAGAGAGAGAGAGAGAGAGAGAGAGAGAGAGAGAGAGAGAGAGAGAGAGAGAGAGAGAGAGAGAGAGAGAGAGAGAGAGGAGAGAGAGAGAGAGAGAGAGAGAGAGAGAGAGAGAGAGAGAGAGAGAGAGAGAGAGAGAGAGAGAGAGAGAGAGAGAGAGAGAGAGAGAGAGAGAGAGAGAGAGAGAGAGAGAGAGAGAGAGAGAGAGGAGAGAGAGAGAGAGAGAGAGAGAGAGAGAGAGAGAGCGAGCATCGACTAATGCCAGCAGCCTCGTGCTGATAGCGATACCTTTTGTATGGCAGCATCGCAACTCGAAGGAGCTTTAATGGCGGCGTAGAGGAAAGATTAAGCAACCCGAAGACGCGAATGACGACGAGCCGGCAATGCAGCCTGACGCAGCTCAGTATCGGAACGCTGTTAATGCTATTAAGGTGGACTGCGACCGCGTCTGATTTGCATCAACAGGGCGGTGGAGCGTGCCTGAAGGCCACAGAGTTTGGCTAAGACACAAATCGAAACATAATAAGTTGTTTGATGCTTACCATGACAAATTAGGCGCATTTGTTTCACTGGAAATGCTGCATTTGTTTGTCAAAACAGATTTGCATCTACAGGGTAATAATGGAACCGTGTCTGAGGGCCACGAAGGCTGGCTAAGATGCAATTCAAAACCTAATGTTTCGTTCATGGAAAAACAACCAAACGTGAAATCTGGTTGCAACTGACAGGTATCTTAGAAATATCTGCAACCCGCCATCAGACAGCTGGAGTGAGCTAAAATTCAACGCTGTGGATATTGAGGAATGCATTCCTCATTCATAGAGGAATTTGAACAAAAATATCCAGATTACAGTTCGAACAACACAGCCAAAATAATATTTATTGAAACCAGTCTTTTTGCTCCCAAGGTTGGATGCAGTACACACAAGTTACCTGAGCACCAGATGTAATGTACCACGTGATCGGGGTGACGCCCAGCGCGCTGAGTAGACATCAGTGTCACAATGCACCAGCATGGTGCACCAGGACAGAACCTTTCACAAAATAGTGGTGCATGTGTCGTTTTCTGGCGGAAAAGAATGAAGAATAAAGAGCAGGTTCTTTTCAACATTTTTTCAACGGACTCTTTCCAATATTTCCCCTTTCCTGAGGCTCACAGACGTCAAATAGCACTTAAGTATCGATGCTTTCAGAGGATGTATTTCCATAAAGCCGTGATGGTTGCATGATTTATTCCTAACTCGGTACATAAATAAGACAGTAACAATAGCCTCATTCCTCGTAGAGAGACTTGGAAGATAAAGAGATATATGCGTTGAGATTTCGGTAACATGCCTGTTTCGAACGGGATAGCAGAAATAAATTCGAAAGTGCCTGCCGATGATCTTACTCGATTTTTGAGTTTTGTTTTCAACAGCGAGCGAACAGTTTGCTTGAGTTCGTTTGTGCATACATGTATTTTTGCGTGCTCTTATTTCTAGTTATTTATGCACTGTATCGTGGGGATGGTTAGCA